AACTGGACTTGATGACCTTGCGAGGCCCCATTCAATCCGAGTATTCTATGAAATCAGGAGACTGACAAAAATATGAATCAATTTGGGTTTCTCTGTAGTTCCCCCTTTCTGGTTTCTGAGCATTTAGGTTCCACTCAGCTCATGTTTCCAGTTTTTTCTGCAACCCAGAAAGCTAACGACTGGCTGGTTTTCTTTGAAGAAAATGAGAATTTTCCTGTGAGAACATGACTATGGGAGCTGCAACTTTCCCCAGTAATCACCCAAGAACCCCAAGCGCATACCCAGCACTTTTCATTAGTGTCACAAAGAGCCTTACAGAGCAGCTCAGTATGTGCACCCCCATCTTCCTACTGGGGAAACTGAGGCACTAAGCAGGGCAGTGACTTGGCTATGGGTCATTCTGCAGGCCAGAGCCTCTGAGTGTCCATAACAGCTGCATGGGGAGGGGTGATGGTGACTGGTGATGTCATGGCTTACAGTGGCTGGTGTTTAGACACTAGTTCTTGGGGGCCAGTGAGCCAATGCAGAATCCCAGTGGAGTTAAAAGGAGCAGGCACGTCTTCTGCAATTTTTTTCCTGCATAAACTTTTGTTTTCAAATGACATACAACAAGCTCCAGTGCAGGCTCTTGCATGTAGCATCATGTGCGTCCAACTTCAGCAGCTCACTCACTAAGACTAATTATTCTCTTTGCATCAAGGTGTTGGTGGGGGGCTACAGGCCTGGCCCTGCCTCCATTTGCGCCAGGTGCTGGACAGACACAGAACCCAAAACTGGTTGCTGAGCCAAACGGCTCCCAACGTAAGCCCTGAGCTGTGTCGGGCCTGCGCCCCTATGTCACATGACTGTGGGAGCTCTGTGGATCACAAAGTATCAGAACTAGGGAGCATTTTCCAAAGCAGCCAGGGAGTGGTCGGTGCCCTGGTTTTTCTGTGGGCGCCCCCAATGGCTGAGAACCTGAGCCTGGAAGCCCGTGGAATTCAGTCCGAGATCAACATCCCTTAGTGCTCTGGCCCATCTCAGTCATGCAGGCAGGTTTCTTTTAGCAAACGCTGTGGCCTGGATGGACTCAGAGATGTTGGGTGCCAGAACAGCTCCCCAGTTCTTAGCCAGCCAGAACAGACAGAGCCTCCTCTGGCTGGCCACTTGTCCAGATTAGGGTTCGGAGCACCACCTAGTGGCGGTGGAGTGTGCATCATCTCTTGTCTCCCCTGGCTGGGCAGAGCAGAGCCAGCCAGGGAGCTAATGGCCAGGCCTAGCAAGTTGGCATGGCCCAGCACAAAGCCCCTTTTTGCTTTGTGTAAAGTCTTGTCCTCACCGGCTCCAGAGAGACAGCGAGACGCCTTGGAGGTGCAGGGAGCCAGGGCTGCAGGCCGGGATTGAGGGGCATGGGCAGCACTGGGAGGGGAAGCCCAGGAACAGCAGGGCTTTTGTATCATGATGCCAGGCTATGGCTGGCTCCCCATCCCCTTCTTTCCCTGGCAGCTCTAGGCCACCCTGCTCCGGCACCTGCCCCCGCCAGGGGCTGCCCTGGGGGATGCTGCTCCTGCCCCAGGGGGGA